GTCTGTGTGTGTGTATCTGTGTGTATCTCTGTGTGTCTGTGTGTATCTGTGTGTGCATCTGTGTGTGTGTATCTGTGTGTATCTCTGTGTGTCTGTGCATCTCTGTGTGTGTCTGTGTGTGTGTATCTGTGTGTATCTCTGTGTGTCTGTGCGTCTCTCTCTCTGTGTGTGCACGTGCACGCATGTGTCCGTCCTGGGATTTGAACTCGGGGCCTGGGTGCTGTCCTGAGCTTCCTCAGCTCAAGGTGGGCGCTCCACCGCGTGAGCCACGGCACCACTTCCGGCTTCTTGGTGCCATTGATCCGCGTCCTGGGCGGCCGGGTGAGGGGCGGGAGGCCGCCCACCTCCTTAATTGGGGAACTCGCTCTTGATAGGCCCACACCGCCCCTCCCGGCCGTTTCATTGGTTGAGATTGGGGAGGGGGCAGGCCTTGCGCACTTTTTGTGGAGGCCGGCCTCAAACCTCAATCCTCCCAACCTCTGCCTCCGGCTGGACTTTTCCTTCCATCCGACCGTCATCCTTTTCCTCTCCCCTGCCGTGGCCCGCAGGCCTGCCTCGACTTACCAGTGGCCACCGGGCCTGGCTCTCCTGCCTCCACCTCGGGCTCTCGGGGTGGGCCCACAGGGCTCTGCTGTTGGAGCCTCGCTGTCTCCAAGATGGGGGTTCTGGGGGTGCCCAGGGGGGGCGGGGGCACGTCCTCGGGGTCCGGCAGCAGCGGCCACACCAGGTCGGGGACAGGCGGGTTGACTTTGGGGACTGGGCCAGAGGAGAACTCCTCGGCCTGAGGAAGACACAGAATGGGCAGCTCCCTGGCTGTGCCCCAGGCCCTTTGCACTTGCTGTACCCCCCATGCTGGTGCCCCAGGCCCTTTGCACCTGCCTCTGGAGCCCCCCACCAGCCACCCCCTTACCTGTGGCCGCCTCTTGAGCAGGCTTCCTGCAAGAGAAAGTGAAACACGCAGGCCTGACACCCCCACACCTCCACCCTCCTCCCCTCCAGCCCTCCAGGGCCTCCACCTCTCCCATCTCCATCTACTCCGGGATTCCAGGAGGGCCAAGCAAGACTCCTTCCCCTCCCTGGTCTCCAAATGAGGGCCTGGGGAGGGAGGGGCGTGGCGGGGCCGGGACCTGCCCCTTCCTACCCAGCTTCCTGCAGAGCGTCGGATGGCTCCTCCAGGCACAGGCGCAGGTCAGGCTGGAGACCAGGACCAGCAGAGCCAAGAGCGCCAGGGCGAGCAGCGCAGCGCCGGTTCCTGCAGGGGGGGGGGGAGGGCAGGGAGGGGGGCGGACATGGCTCATTTCCATTCTGCACAACTAAGGCTGCGGAGAGGGGGCACTCAGCGGGGTTCGGAGCTATTATGACTATTTTTATTTATAGTTATTTTGGGGTCAGTGGTGAGACTTGAACTCAGGACCTGGGCGCTGTCCCTGAGGTCTTCAGCTCTAGGCTGGCGCTCTACCCTTTGAGCCACGGCACCAGGTCCGGTTTTCCGGTGGTTCCTTGGAGATCAGAGTCTCACGGACTTTTCCTTCCCCCTAGCTGGCCTTGAACCGCGATCCTCGGGATCTCAGCCTCCTGAGATCTTGGCTGGGGAATGAGATTTCCCTTCCGGGTCTGAGACCGGATCTCACGGCTGGGGGATGAGCCTAGAACTCACCAGGTAGCCCCAGGCTGGCCTTGGCCCTGGCCATCCGCCCCCCACGGGCTGGCGGACGGAGTGCTGGGACTACAGGCGTGTGCTACCGTGCCCGGCCTGGCTCTCATTTCCATCTCCAATAGTTTTCTCTGCGCACACACGCACCTGGCGCATCGGGGGGCTGTGGGGGGCTTTGGCAGATCCTGTCCGTCTCCAGCGTGCCCGGCGCTGCCTCTACTAGGCCTCGATCCTCGCAGCTGCGGGGGGAAGCGGCCGTGAGTCTCTGCTCTGCCCGTGCTCGGCCTAGCGGGGGGGCCCTGGGGCCCGGGCGGCCCGGGGGGGGGGAGGACACGGGGGTCCTCACCTCGTGTGCGGCTGGCAGCGGGCGCTGGGGGAGGAGGCGTTCTGGAAGAAGCCCGCCTTGCAGGGCAGGCAGCGCGGCGGGCCCTCGTCATGTTCACCTGCCGTGAAAAGACGCACAGACGGGCTGCGGCTGGGCCGGCGGCTCAGTGGTAGAGCGCTCACCCGGCGTGCATGAAGCCCCGGGTTCGAATCCTCGGCACCGCACACACAGAAAAAGGCTGGAAGGAGCGGCTCGAGGCCTGTCACCCTGGCTGCTCAAGAGGCTGCGATCGGAGGATCGCGGTTCAAAGCCAGCCCGGGCAGGAGAGACTGTGAGACTCTGATCTCCAATAAACCACCAGAAAACCGGGAGTGGCACCGTGGCTCAAGTGGTAGAGCGCCAGCCTTGAGCTGAAGAGCTGAGGGACAGCGCCTAGGCCCAGAGTTCATGACCCACAACCGACAACAACAACAACAACAAAAGAGCTTCATGGCCTTTTCCTGCCCAGGCTGGCTTTGAACCGCGATGCTCAGATCTCAGCCTCCTGAGTGGCCGGGATGACAGGCGGGAGCCACGGCGCTCAGCCAAGAAGGGGCATTTTATGACAAGGGGTGTTTCCTAGAGGATGACTGTCCCTGCCCGGCCTCCCCTGCCCGGCCTCCCTCAGCCTCCCCCACCCAGCCTCCCTGATTCAGCCTCCCTCCCCTGGCCTCCCTCTCCCGGCCTCCCTCGCCCGGCCTCCCTCCCCCGGCCTCCCTCCCCCGGCCTCCCTCGCCCGGCAGCCCCTGACCTGCCGTGTCCACCTCCGTGCCCGGCGGGCAGGGCAGCAGCGGCTGGCAGTGCGCACACTTGGAGTCCCAGAAGAAGCAGCTGGTGCCGGGCTGGCAGCGACACTGGCTCTGGTGCGTGCGGTTGCACGGGGCGACCTCTTCAAAGCCCAGCACTGCGGGGTGGGGTGGGGAGGAGAGGCGATGGGGGGGCGGATCAGAGAAAGAGGGGTCCCCCGCCCCCCGCCGCCCCCTCCCCCACGCACCCGTGTCGCAGGGCCGGCACATCTGGCATTGCTTCACGTGGTTCCAGTGCTCGTTGAAGGAGTGCTCGGGGCAGGCGGCGCACACGGTGTCCTGGGTCCCGTCGCATTGCGTGGACACGTACATGCCTGGGGAGGGGGTGGGGGGCGGAGGGGAGCAGGCTGGCCCCCCGGGAGCCCCCTCCCTCCCAACCCTCTCTGCAGTGGCTGGCTGAGCGTTGCTGCACCTGCCTTTAGTCCCGGCCCTGCACGGAAGCCCCTCTCTTTGTCTCATTCCCTTCCATGCTGGGTTTCTTTTTTGGGGGGTATGGATTCTTACCTGGGGGGCATCGGGTGCAGCACACCCCCACACGGGGCTCATAGTATTCTTTCTCCTCCTCCCAGCAAGTCTGATTCTGCCTGGGCAGGCGGGCGGCCTATGGAGGGGAGAAAAAGCAAGGGTCAGAGGTCAGGGGCCCCCCTCACCCCCCCAGAAACCGATGTCTGGGCCCCGCTCTCCCTCCCCCACTCCCTCACCATCGGGGACCCCAAGCCGGCCAGGACTCCACAGAGGATCCATAAGAGAGGCGTGGAGGCCGGGCCACAGGGTAGACGCATGGCTGGCTGGGGTGTGTGTGCGGGGGGTGGGGGACACCCCCAAGACCCAGGGTGCCCACACCACGGTGGAGGCTGAGCAGGAAGAGAGCGAGACTCTCCAAGATCGGGGGGGGGGAGGCTGGGGGGCTGGCGAGGCTGGGCCTCCGGAGGGGAGGCCAGCGGCCAGGCCGGGCCTCTAGGCCTGCAGCCGCCCGGCTCAGGAAGTAGAGGTGGAGATGACCGGGGAGGCGGGGATCGGGAAGCCGGGCCGGCCTGTCGCAATCGAGCTGGGGGTGTAGGGAAGGGGGGGGAAGAGGAACAGGCCTGGCCGGGAAAGCACGTGAGGCCGGCAGCCGGCGCCCAGCCCGGAACCCCGGCCTCCTCCCTCTCCAGAGATCCTGGAGGAGGAGGAGGGGGAGGAGGAGGAGGGGGAGGAGGAAGGGGAGAGGGAGGGGGAGATCTGCAGGCCCCCCACCCCTGGGAAAGGCCCCCCCCAAAGCTGGAGCACAGGAGGCTCAGGAGCAGAGGAGTTGGTGATTTGGGGGTCACAGATGGGCGGCTGAACCCCAGAACTGAACCCAAACAACAGCCACAAATCCACACAGCCACACACAAGCCCCCCCCAGCAGCTGATCTGGACACAGCCCGGCCCAGCTGGGAGATGGTTTCTTTTTAGGGGTGCAGGGGGGTTCTTTCTGGTGCCAGGGCTTGGTTTGAACTCAGGCCGGGCGCTCGACCGCTTGAGCCACAGCTCCACTCCTGGCTTTTTTTCCCCCTTTCTCTTTCGGGTGGTGCATTGGGTGAGAAAGAGGCTCATGGCCTCCAGCTGGCCTCGCGCCGAGATCCTCCGATCTCAGCCTCCTGAGTCGCTGGGATGACAGGCGAGGCCACCAGCGCCCACCCTGGCTGGCTCTTTTTTTCTTTTGATTTGAGGTAAGATACAAAGATGACAGAACGTGTGGTGTCGTGTGCGTGTGCACGTGCGTGTGGGATCCGTGTCTTCCCTGTGTTCTTGTGTATTCACAGGTCGGCTGATGAGGTTTCCACTTCTGTGGATTCTGGCCCTTTCTCCCTCTGGAGCCATTGCTGGTACTACAAGAGGTCTCTACACAGCCCTTCCCTTGCCACAGGTAATCGCCATGTCGGGTCCTGGCTGCTGTCACAGGGGCTTTGGGGAAGCCTCCCCTCTCCTCCTGAGATCGCAGCTCTGATTCTGGGCCTCTTCCCTTGTTCTAATCAACCAGGCTGATTCTCTAGCTGGGTTTCCATGACTGGAACTACATTTCCCAGAAGCCTTTTCTGCCACTTCCCATAGGGGTTCAGCCAATGGGGAGGTGGATAGGGCAAGTGGAGGCGGGAAGCAGCCAATTGGCCTTGTCCACTCTGGATTCTGGCAGCCTGCTACTTTTCTTATTGTTATTAGTTAGTTAGTTTATTTGTTTCCAGTCCTGGGGTTTGAACTCGGGGCCTGGGCGCTGTCCTTGAGCTTTTTGCTCAAGGCTGCTGTTCCACCACTTGAGGCACAGCTCCACTTCTGGCTTTTTGGTGATTCACTGGTGATAAGAGTCCCACCGACTTTCCTGCCCCGGCTGGCTTCGAACCCCCATCCTCAGATCTCAGCCTCCTGAGTAGCCAGGACGACAGGCGTGAGCCACTGGTGCCCAGCTTCCCTTCCTTCCAATTTCCCACCGTACCCAGCTAATCCTGCAGCTTTGATTTTTTTGATTTGTATTTAGTGCTGGGACTTGAACTCAGGGCCTGGGCGCCGTCCCTCAGCTCTTCCGCTCAAGGCTGGCGCTCTACCAGTTGAGCCACAGCACCACTTCTGGTTTTCGGGTGGTTCATGGGAGATCAGAGTCTCACAGACTTTCCTGCCCAGGCTGGCTTTGAACCGCGATCCTCCAATCTCAGCCTCCGGAGTAGCTGGGATTATAGGCGGGAGCCACGTGCCTGGCTGGAAGATGCTGAATTCCTACACATCCCGCCAAGTCACTGGGCCGAGGATGACAAGGAGGAATTTTCTGGTTTATCATTTTAGCTTGGTATGACATAAGGGAAAATAAATTGATTGCTGGCTGGGCACTGGTACTCACGCCTATAATCCCAGCTCCTCAGGAGGCTGAGATTAGAGGATCACAGTTCGAAGCCAGCCTGGGTAGGGAAGTCTGTGAGACTCTGATCACCAGTGAACCAGCAAAAAGCTGGAAGGGGAAGTGTGACTCAAGTGGTAGAGCCCCAATCTTGCGTGGAAAAAGCTAAGAGAGTGGCCAGGCTCAGAGTTCAAGCTCCAGTACACACACACACACACACACACACACACACACACACACACACACACACACACGAACACATGCAGTGCCGGGCTCCATTGGCTCCCACCTGTCATCCTAGCTACTCAGGAGGCTGAGATCTGAGGATCGTGGTTCACAGCCAGCCCGGGCAGGGAAGACCATGAGACTCTGATCTCCAATGAACCACCAGAAAACCTGAAGTGGCGCTGTGGCTCAAGGGGTAGAGCGCCAGCCTTGAGCTGAAGAGCTCAGGGACAGCGCTCAGGCCCTGAGTTCAAGCCCCAAGACAGACCAAAAAAAGTTTTTAAAAAATGGAGATGGGGTGGGAGAAGAGGACTTGAACTCAGGGCCTGGGCGCTGTGCCCTGGTGTTTTTGCTTGAAGCTGATGCTCTACCCCCTTGGGCCACAGCTCCACTCGCAGCTTTCGAGTGGTTCATTGGACTTAAGAGACTCATGGATTTGTCTGCCTGGGCTGGCTTCGAACCGGGATCCTCAGATCTCAGCCTCCCGAGGAGCTGGGATTGCAGGCGGGAGTCCCCAGGTGGAGTCCTGACCAAAGCCACAGGACTGGAGACCTTTGTGTTCCTCCCCACAGGCTGGGCCCGGCCCACTGCTGGGGACCCCAGGCCGTGCTCCACCCCCAAGGACATGCCAAGGTCACAGCCCCCGCCACCCCAGGCCCGGCCCATCGTCTCCCAAAGCCCGGAGATGGACTTCAGGTACTGACTCCCAAATAGAACAGGGCAAGGAGGGAACTTTCCAGAACCTTCTAGATCAGTGAGGGAGCTGAGTGATGAGCCCTGCTTCCCTCCTCCCCCAATTTGGGGGATGCTAGTGGACACGGCCTGGCTCCAGGTGGAATGGGTTTTCTAGAAGTTTCCAGGCTCCTCTGAGAAAGGAGCTTTAGGAATGGAGCCAGCGCCTCCTCCTGGCTCTCAGCTCCAGATGTGCTGCCAGCTGTGGCTGCGTGATCGGGGTGACCGCGGCAGACGCTGCGGGGCCGGTGCGCACGCCTGTCACCCCAGCTGCTCAGGGGCTGAGATCTGAGGATCGCGGTTCAAAGCCAGCCCGGGCAGGAAAGCCCGTGAGACTCTGATCTCACATGAGCCAGCGAAAAGCTGGAAGTGGAGCTGCGGTTCAAGTGGTAGAGCGCCAGCCTTGAGTGAGAAAGCGCAGAGACAGTGCCCAGGCCCTGAGTTCAAGCCCCGGGACTGACACAGCGAGAGAAAGGGGGAAAGAGGGAGGAAGAGAGGAAGGAGAGAGGGAAGGAAGGAGGAAGGGAGGGAAGGAAGAAAGGAAGGAAATGAAGGAAGACAGGAAAGAAGGAAGGAGAAGGAAGAAGGATAGGAAAGAAGGAAGGAAGGAAGGAAAGAAAGGAAGACAGGAAGGAAGGAAAGAAAGAAAGGAAGACAGGAAGGAAAGAAAGGAAGAAAGACGGGAAAGAAGGAAGGAAGGAGAAGGAAGAAGGATAGGAAAGAAGGAAGGAGGGAGGGAAGGAAGGAAGGAGGGAGGGAGGAGGGAAGGAAGGAAGGAGGGAAGGAAGGAGAGGAAGGAAGGAAGAAAAGGAAGGAAGGAAAGGAAGGAAGGAAGAGAAGAAAGGGAGGGAGGGAGGGAGGGAGGGAGGGAGAACGGGAGCTCTTCAGTATCCAACCCCAGCAGAGAGCTGCGCATCTTCTGGCTGCTGTGGAATATTTGGGGTGAGCAACCGGCCTGTGCGCGGTCAGTTTCTTTATTTGGAAAACACAGACAGAGCCCGGCCCTCCCTCCCTCCCTCCCCCCCTCCTCCCCGCTCTCCCTCCCGCTCCTTCCTGGAGACATTTTTCCGGGCAGAAGACAGGACAAACAAGCAGAGAGAGTCCATTTCTGCCTGATCTAGACTCTCCACAGACACACACAGCCCAGGCTGGACTTGGAGAAAGTGTGTGTGTGTGTGTGTCTGTCTGTCCTGGGGGTTTGAACTCAGGGCCTGGGCGCTACTACTGTCCCTTAGCTCAAAGGCGAGTGCTCTACACTTGAGCCACAGCTCCACTTCTGGCTTTTTGGTGGCTCATTAGAGATCAGAGTCTCATGGACTTTCCTGTCCCGGGCTGGCTTTGAACCGTGATCCTCCAGTCTCAGCCTCCTGAGCGGCTGGGATGACAGGCGGGAGCCACGGGTGTCTGGTACTTTTCTATTTTGTTCTTGAAGAAACGCATTTGCACTGGTGGCTCCCGCCCGTCATCCCGGCCACACAGGAGGCTGAGACTGGAGGATCAGGGTTCAAAGCCAGCTGGGGCAAGAAAGTCCTTGAGACTCTGATCTCCCAGGAACCACCAGAAAACCGGACGTGGCGCTGTGGCTCAAGTGGTAGAGCGCCAGCCTTGAGCTGAAGAGCTGAGGGACAGCGCCCAGGCCCCGAGTTCGAGCCCCAGGACTGGCACAAAACAAAACAAAAATGCAATGCGGGGGTGCCTGGAATCTCGGGTGCTGTGTACCCTCTCTTCCCCCTCCCCCCTGCCTCCCCCTCCCTCTCTCCCCTAGATTCCCACAGCTGCTTATCTCTGTTCTCAGGATCCTTATCTGGCTACCAGCTACCGTGGTACCTGTGCGCTGCTGGAGAAGCAGGAGGGGGGGAGGAGGGGGGGAGGGGGGGGAAGGGGGGCAGTGTGTCCCACAGGTCTTAGGGCAGGGTGGGTCCTGGGGTTTTAGAAGGGAATCTCCTATGTTGGTCTCTATTGTTTTTGGTGCCAGTCCTGGGACTTGAACTCAGGACCTTTTGTGTTCTGGCTTGTCTTGCCTGTTCCCAGCTGGTGCTCTACCCCTTGAGCCACAGCTCCGCTTCCGGCTTTTCGCTGGTTCTCTGGAGATAAGAGCTTCCCAGACTTTCCCAATGGCGGCGGCTGGGTAGGGAGGTGGAAGGGGGGACCCGAGTTTCCAAGGCCTGATCTCAGCCTCCTGAGTAGCCGGGATTACAGGCGGGTGCTCCAGCGCTCGGCTGCTGCTGGCAGCTTTTTATCCTCCGGCTGGGGGGTCAGGCTCAGAGAACGAAAAGAAACCCAGGGTGTCCCCCACTCCTTCCAGCCCCGGCCTCCGCGTCTGCCTCTCCCCAGGCCCTGCCCACCAGCCCTGGAGCACGCAGCCCTACCTCTCAGCCCGCCAGCGCCGCATTCCACCCGCCCAGGAGCAGCACAGGAGGGCAGGACACATTCCAACCTGGGCGGCCAGTGGCTTAGAAAGGGAACACAATGTCCCCGGCCCAGGCCCAGCCCTGACCTCACCTGGGCGCCTCCCAAGCCCAGACAAAGCCGGGGTGAGGGCTGGAGGGAGGGGTGAGGGGAAGGGAGCCGGGAGGGAGGGAGGAAGGATGGGGAGGAGGAAGAGGAAGAAGAGGATGAGGCTGGAGGCCCCTTGTTTCTTCCCCCAGGGCTTTGGGGTGAGGCTGATCTAGGGGGGAGGGGAGTCCCTCCCCAGACAGAGGAAGCACCCCACTTTCTAGGAGACAGCTGGATTACTGGCCCCTTGCTTCTGGCTCCCAGGGCTGGTCCCCCATTTTTCTGTCTTCTCTGCTCGGTGTGTGTGTGTGTGTGTTGGTTGGTGGGTTGCAGGTCTTGAACTCAGGGCCTGGGCGCTGTCCCTCCGCTCTTCAGCTCAAGGCTGACGCTCTACCCCTTGAGCCACAGTGCCACTTTCGATTTTCTAGTGGTTCCTTGGAGCTAGGGTCTCAGGGACTTTCTTGCCAGGGCTGGCCTTGAACCGCGATCCTCAGCTCTCAGCCTCCCGAGGAGCTGGGATGACAGGCGGGAGCCACAAGCGCCCGGGGGTGCAGGATCTCCAACTTGGTTCGGGATCTGCCCCGTCCTGGCCTGTCAGCAGCCCAGCTACTCAGGAGGCTGAAATAGGAGGATCGCGGTTCCAAGCCAGCCTGGGCAGGAAAGTCCATAAGACTCTTAGCTCCGATGAACCACCCAAAAGCTGGAAGTGGTGCTGTGGCTCACGGGGTAGAGCGCCATCTTTTGAGAGAGAAAAGGCTAAGGGACAGCGGCTGCCAGGCGCTGAGTTCCAAGCCTGGGATGGACACACAGACACACAGACAGACACACAGACAGACAGACACACACACACATGTCTGTCTCACCTGCTGGGCCTCCTGTCTGCCTAGCTCCCATCTTCTCCCCGATGCCCCCTCCACATTCCCGTCCAGTCCCCCCAGTGCTCTTCCCTGGGGCCAGCTCCCATCCCAGACTCCTCCTCCGCCCCGCCCTGCGCCCTGCTCACCTTTAATTGAGATGCTAATGAGCTGTGCGCGCCTCTCATCCCCGGCCGGCGGGCGGGCGGGGCGGGCGGGCCGGGCCCTGCACCTGTCAGGTGAGAGGGTGGGAGAGATAGATCTACCAGATCCGACTGGAAAGGAACCGGTCGCTGCCAGCCACCCCGGGGAGCCGGGAGTCACCGACCCGCCTGGCAGATCCCTGGGAAGAAAGTCGGGACTCGCAGGTGGGAGGAAGAAGAGAGGAGCGATCAGAGAGGCTGGAGAGACAAAGAGGGGTACACACTAGAGGCCGGGGGGGCAGAGGGCGAGGGGGGGCAGAGGGGAGGGTGAGTCACCCCCCCCGATCCACAGTAAGGACTCTGAGTGGGGGGAGTACTTAGCACCCAGCACCTTCCCCCCAGCTCAGCTTCGATGTTGCCTCTTGCCTCTCCCGCCCTCCCCCCTGCAATCTCCATCCGTCAGGGCCCCATGAAGGGAGACAAGCGGGAGGAGCCGGGGCCGGGGCCCGAACCCGCGGCCCCCCAGCCTCCCACGGAGGATGAGGAGGCGCTGATCGAGTTCCACCGCTCGTACCGCGAGCTCTTCGGGTTCTTCTGTAACAACACCACCATCCACGGCGCCATCCGGCTGGTGTGCTCCCGGCACAACCGCATGAAGACCGCCTTCTGGGCCGTGCTGTGGCTCTGCACCTTCGGCATGATGTACTGGCAGTTCGCGCTGCTCTTCGAGGAGTACTTCAGCTACCCGGTCAGCCTCAACATCAACCTCGACTCCGACAAGCTGGTCTTCCCGGCGGTCACCGTGTGCACCCTCAACCCCTACAGGTGAGTCTGGCCTCTGCCTGGCACGCCCTCCCCCCCCCCCCGGGGAGGAACCGATGCTTTCTGTCTCCAGGGAGATTTTCACCTTTGGCTTGTGTGGATTCATGTCTTTGTCCAGTGGAGCTATCCTCTTGGCTTCCCTTCCTCAAGCCCTCCCCCTCCCCTTTCCTCCCCAAAGCAGGGCGTGCTGGTCCTTAAAGACTGGATTCAGTTCAGTCCCATCCTTCCTTGGAGCCAGAGAGCAAAACCATAGGGGCTTCTCTAGTTCCTAGCTATACCTCAGGAGGCTGAGGTCTGGAGGATCGAAGTTTGAGGTCAGCCTGGGTGGGGGCAGAAAAGTCCATGAGATTCTCATCTCCAATTATCCACCCCCCCCAAAAAAAAAGAAACAGGGCTGGAGGTGTGGCTCGAGTGGTAGAGGGCCAATCCCTGAGTTCAAGTCCTGGTATTGGCAAGCAAGAAAAAAAAAGCTAGGCTCTGGTGGCTCATACCTCCTAGAGACTCAGGAGGCTGAGATCTGAGGATCCTGGTTCAAAGCCAGCCAGGGCAGGAAAGTCTGTGAGACTCTGATCTCCAATGCACCACCAGAAAACCGGAAGTGGTGCTGTGGCTCAAGTGGTAGAGCGCCAGCCTTGAGCTGAAGAGCTGAGGGACAGCGCCCAGGCCCCGAGTTCAAGCCCCTTGTCTGACCAAAACAGAAAAGAAAGATAAAGAAAAGGCTGTGTGTGTGTATGTGTGTGTGTATGCGGGGGGGGGGGGTGCGGGAGAGCGCATGCGTAGCATGTGCAAAGGCCCTGACACCAAAAACACACACACCAGAGCGTGTCCCAGGTACTTTGGGTCTGGATGGGGTGGTAACCTAGAAGGGGAGGGGAGGGACCAGTGTTTGTAGCTCCCTCCCTCCCCCACTGCCTGTTTTCCCCCAGGCCACACCGGGGTCAAGCCAGACACACTGTTAGAGACGCTGGCTTGAAAGGGACTCATGAATAATTCAAACACTTTTACTAAAGGCCAAGTACCTGGCCCGCTAGGTCCCCCAGGGGACCGAAAGCTAACCTGTAAGAAAGGCGCTGGTGCTCACGCCTGTAATCCCAGCCACTCAGCAGGCTGAGATCTGAGGATCAAGGTTTGAAGCCAGCCTGGGCAGGAAAAGTCCATGAGACTCTGATCTCCCGTGAACCAGCAAAAAGCCGGAGTGGAGCTATGGCTCAAGTAGCAGAGGGCCAGCCTTGCACAACATCAACAGAAAAAAGATCGGTGAGAGTTCAGGGCCCTGCGTTCAAGCCCCAGTACTGGCACAAAAGGACACACTCAGAGCAGAACCACCCCAGCAGGCGGTAAAAAATGGCATCTGAGGAGTGGAAGATCTTTTATGACTGTGGATTGTTGAGGTACGGTTCCCCGCCCCCCCAACCCAGCCTGTCACTGACTAATCAGGGCTGGGACAATTCTCCTCTGGGAGAGAAAAGACTTCTTCCTTGTGATCCTTAGGATAGAGACCAACAGGGCTCTACCTCCCTTGAGCCACGCCTCTGGGCCAGCTTTTTGCCAGTTAACTCAAGATAAAGAGTCTCCGGGGCTTTTTTCCCCCCTAGCTGTTGAATCACTATGGTTAGCTTTCAGCCTCCCCGGTAGCTGGGATTACAGGTGTGTGCCACAGGTGCCGGACTTCTACCTCTTACCAAGAGGAATGTTCCCAGGAGTCAGGGAATTCTTGATGTTGATTTTTTCACCTCTGGTTGGTTCTCCGCCTTCAGCCTCATTCTCCCAGCTTCCCCTCCCCCTCCCCCTCCCCCCCCCCTTTTGGGAGGTGAGTGGGGGTGGCAGCCCTGGGCAAGGTTGGTAGGCCTTCAATAAATACTTGCGGTTGGGAAGATGTCAACTTGATATGGGGTGACTTTGAGTGCTCAGCCTCCCGCTGGCTTCAGGCAGTCTAAACAGGCCAGGACCAAGCCCCAGGGGGACGGGATGGGGTGTCTGAGGGCGGCCAGGCCTGGGGGACCCAGCGCCTGCTCCAGGCTTCCCCGAGCTGGAGGCTTTCTGCATATGATCTCATTGAAGCCGGACGCGTCCAGGAGAGTGGCATTAAAAAAAATATATATATATACATATATACATATATATATATTTGCTCTTCCATTTTCTTGGTAGCACAGGGGATTGAACTCAGAGCGCTGGCTGCACAAACTCCACTGCTTGAGCCCTGCCCCTGTCCTTTGGCATTTTGTCGGTCGTGGGGCCTGAACTCGGGGCCTGGGCGCTGTCCCTCAGCTCTTCAGCTCAAGGCGAGCGCTCCACCACTTGAGCCACAGCACCACTTCCGGCTTTTTCTGCTTCTACGGTGCTGAGGAATCGAACCCAGGGCCTCATGCATTCTAGGCAAGCGCTCTACCCCTGAGCACCTTCCTGGCCCCTGTGTGGTGCATTTTAGGCGGGAGAGAGCGGGGCCTCCTGGGGTGGAACAGGGCTGGGAGTCCAGGGGCGGGGCGGGGCTGCAGCTCAGGGGGCGTGGCCAGGAGGAGGGGCTGCAGCTCAGGGGGCGTGGCCAGGAGGAGGGACTGCAGCTCAGGGGGCGTGGCCAGGAGGAGGGGCTGCAGCTCAGGGCGGGGCTGCAGCTCAGGGGGCGTGGCCAGGAGGAGGGACTGCAGCTCGGGGGTGGAGCTGCAGCTCGGGGGTGGAGCTCCAGCTCAGGGGGCGTGGCCAGGAGGAGGGGCTGCAGCTCAGTGGTGGAGCTGCAGCTCGGGGGGCGTGGCTGCAGCTCAAGGGGCGTGGCTGCAGCTCGGGGGCGGGGCCGGGCTGCGGGCTCCGGCCTGGGGCTGCTGGTGAGTGTGGACAGGCGGGTCCAGCCAGCTGGGTGCTTCCTGTGTGTGAGTCATGGCTGCGCGGGCAGAGGATGGACGGTGAGGGAGGCTGGGGTGAGGCAGCCATCCCTGGGACGTCCCCCGGCTGAGGGACATGGCCAGCGGAGGGACGGCGAAAAGATGGCCCTGCCTGGCCGGGCCGGTGCGCCCTGCTGCTTTGGAGGCGGGGGAGCGGAGGGTGTGGGGTGGAGGCTGGCCTAGGACACACGCCGTGAGACCCCCACCTCATCCCGGCTCTGCTGGGCCTCCGACGGACCCGGCCCAAACTCGAGGCCCCAGCACCGGTGCGCAGGCCTGGAATCCCGGCTCCTCCGGAGGCCGAGATCCGAGGATCGCGGCTCGAAGGCAGCCCGGGCAGCCAGGGAACCAGCAAGAGGCCGGAAGTGGCTGGCTTGGGGGGTCGGGCCCGTGGGGGGGCTGCGCCCCGCGCCCGCCCCGGGTGACCCGCCCGCCCCGCCCCCCAGATACCCCGAGATTAAAGAGGACCTGGAGGAGCTGGACCGCATCACCGAGCAGACGCTCTTCGACCTGTACAAGTACAAGTACGATGCCTCCGGGGCCCTGCAGCCCCGCGCCGCGCGGCGAGGCCCCCGCGGCCTCCGCCAGCCCCTGCCGCACCCCCTGCAGCGCCTGCGGGTCCCGCACAGGGCCCGTGCCCCGCGCAGCAGCTCCGCCTCCAGCATGCGGGACAACAACCCGCAGGTGGACCGGAGGGACTGGAAGATCGGCTTCCAGCTGGTAAGGCCCCGCCCCGCCGCAGGCCCCGCCCACCGCAAGCCACGCCCTCCACACAGCAGCCCACAGTCAGCACTTACCAAGGGCCCGCCCACACCACTGGGTTCCCGCGCCTGCCAGAGCTCCGCCCACGACATGACCACGCCCCTTCATCACCCCGCAAGTCACGCCCACCGGGCCACGCCCACACGTCCCCATTTGGTGATGCCCACCACAGCCTACGCCCCACCAAGGCTCACCCCAGCCCCCCTTAGGGTAACGCCTATAGCCTTCTGACCCCTCCAGCCAGAATACATCCACGGCCCTCCCATAGGGCCACGCCCACAGCAGCCCCGCCTCCTCAGCCAGGCCCCACCCACCTAGGCTCCGCCCACAACCAGGTCCCTAGGCGCAAAGGCCATCACACTCTCCTGATCTCTGCCCAGATCGGTGGCCACGCCCCCTCCCAGGGCTCACGTTGATAGACCACGCCCCAGCCCCGCCTACCTTGGTAGGCCCCGCCCCAGCCCAGCTGGATGACTAGAGTCCAGAGCGGTCAGGAGCAGGGGCTCCTGCGCACGCATGCACACGCACACCGCTCACTGGGCTCAGGGGTGGCGCATGCGCCCCCCGGGGCCGGCTCACACCCTCCAGGCCGGACTCGAACCCCGATCCTCCTATCTCAGCCTCCCGGGTGGCGGGGGGCGGCAGGCGCGGGCCCCGGGCGCCGCTGACCTCTGATGTCCGTGTCCAGTGCAACCAGAACAAATCCGACTGCTTCTACCAGACGTACTCGTCCGGGGTGGACGCCGTGCGCGAGTGGTACCGCTTCCACTACATCAACATCCTGTCCCGCCTGTCCGACTCGCTGCCCGCGCTGGACGAGGCGGCGCCGGGCAACTTCATCTTCACCTGCCGCTTCAACCAGGCGCCCTGCAGCCAGGGGTGAGCGCCCGGCCGGCCTGCTTCCCGGGCTGGGGGGCAGCCCACGCTCCACCAGCTCACCCGCCGTCCTGCTTGGTGGGCAGAGGCCCTGCAGCCTGGCGCTGGTGGAGGCTGAGAGCTGAGGATCACACTTGGAGGCCAGCCCTGGGGGCGGGATCCGTGAGGCTCTTTACTCCAAGGATCTACCCCCAAAGCTGGAAGGGTGCTATGGCTCAAGTGGTAGAGCGCCAGCCCTGAAGAGCTGAGGGACAGTGCCCAGGCTGTGAGTTCAAGCCCCCAGGATCGTTCTTCTCTCTGTAGGGTGCCCCTCCTTGCTAGAGCAAGCTAGGGAAGGGCCAGTGTACACACACCTCGCCTCTGTTTGTTTGAGGACAGAAACTAGAGGCTGGGCTGTGAGTCACCGGCACCTGCCACTAATCCTTCCTGTGACCTTCATCTCTTTCCCGCTGGACAGCTTCGTGACTCCCGCCTGGAATCCCAGAAAGTCCAGGGTTCGCCTTGGCCTTAGCGCTGAGGGCATTTCCTCAGCCGGAGTCTCATCCTTGCTTACCTGGACTGTTCTGATGTTTTACTTCTTGGGCAGTACTGGAATTTGAACTCAGGACCTCATGGGTTGGGTTGCTCTACTACATGAGCTAGGCCTCCCACGCTTGCCTTTTAATGTTTCTTCCTGCCTCTGTTGCTGGTGGTTGTGGGTCTTGAACTCACGGCCTAGGTGCTGTCCCTGAGCTCCACCACTTGAGCCGCAGTGCCACTTCTGGCCTTTTCTGTGTATGTGTTACTGGGGAATCGAACCCAGGGCTTCATGCTTCTGCTACCGCAGGGAAGGTTGTAGCTCAGTTCCTGCAGCTACAACGAAGTAGTTACTAGAGAGAAGAGTCACGCCACGCTGAGATCTGCAGATCGAGGTTCAAAGCCAGCCCAGGCAAGAAAGTCAGCGAGTCTCTGATCTCCAATGAATCACAGAAAAAGCAGGAAGTGGCGCTGCAGCTCCAAGTTCATAGAGAGGAAGCTGGAGAATCTCAGCGCACGGGACCCGTGTGTTAAGGTCCAGGGGTTCTGTGAAAGAGGAATCAGGAAGCAGACCTGGTTTTGTCTGTCTGGCCCCAGATCTGCAAGCGCAGCTCTATTCATGAAGATTCGGTCTCTCTAAGCGACTTCCCACAGCCTCAGCCATTTCCAACCCGTTAGAGATGAGGTCTCGCACCCAGGACCCTCTGCTTATTTAAGGATTCCAGTTCTTCCCAGTGGCTCCTGCCTTTAGCACCAATCTGCTTCTCATCCGTCCCCTTTCCCCTACAGAAAAATCTCTCCCGACACTCTGTGCTCTGGAGGTTCAAACCCAGGCTCTCTCTACTGCTGAGCAATATCCCCAGGCCACGAGGCTTTTGTTGTTATTGGTGGTGTTTTTTGGCCGTAGCAGAATTTGAACTCAGGGCCTCACCTTTGTTAGGAAGGTGCTCTACCACTTGAGCCATACCTCCAGCCTGTTTTTGCTGGGCGGAGGAGGTAGACTTTTCTGTCCAGGCTAGCTCAGCTTCCTGAAAAGCTAGGATTACAGGAGATTAACTTGTAACCATTTTTTTTTCTTGTTGGTTGTGGGGCTTGAACTCAGGGCTTGGGTGCTCTTCCTGTTCAGGGCTAGTGCTCTACCACTTGGCCCACAGCACCACTTCTGGTTTTTGGTTGGTTCATTGGAAACAAAGAGTGTCATGGAGACTTTTCTGCCCAAGCTGGCTTTGAACTACGATCCTCAGCTCTCAGCCTCCTGAGTAGTTAGAATTACAGGTGTGAGCCACCAGTGCCTGGCTAACTATTTGGTTTTGAAGGCCAATAGAACATTCCAGATTATCTAGCTCTAATCCCTTTTACAGGTGGAGAGAATGAGTTTAGAGAAGCTATCTTGCTCAAGGCCAAACAATCAGACTCCAACTCTTCCTTCTTCCATTTTTGCCTTTCTGGTCACTAGTTCCAAGATGGCGGTTCAAAGCCAACCCAGGCAGGAAAGTCAGTGACACTCTTTGATCTCCAATGAACCACCAAAAAGCCAGAAGTGGTGGTGTGGTTTGAGCAGCAAGAGTGCCAACCTGGAGTGAAAAAGCCAAATGAGATCATGAGACCCTGAGTTCAAGTCCCAATACCAGCACACAGGAAAAAAAAGATGGCAGAGCCGGTGGCTCACACCTGTCATCCCAGCGACTCAGGAGGCTGAGATCTGAGGACCAAGGTTCAAAGACAGCCCGGGCAGGAAAGTCCCTGAGACTCTTCTCTCCAATGAACCACCAGAAAACCGGAAGTAGAGCTGTGGGCTCAAAGTGGTAAAGCAGTAGCCTTGAGCAGAAGTGCTCAGGGATGGCGCCCAGGCCCTGAGTTCAAGTCCTACAACCAACAACAAAGATGGCGGAGTGGTAGAACAGGGCCCCTCAGTCCCTTTCTGTCCCCTGGTTCTTGGTCCTCTGTGGTTTGCTATTGTGTTTCCCATTGCAAGAGATGAGCTTTGGGGGGGGGGTTACCCCATGGGAGCCATGCTGACGTGTGAAGCCTGCGACATATGCTTGGCCTCATTCATGCCCTGGGCTCTGGGTTCCCTCCCCTTTGTCTCCTCTGACCCCGTTTGCATCGATGTCTTCATTTCCCTCATCCACCCCCTGCACAACTACCGGTTGAGCGCCTCTTGGGCCTCCTGTAAGTCCAGAACTCTTCACCTAGCCCAAGGTGACGCACAGGAACTCGCAATCCAAATGGGGAACTAAGAGTTAGGTGACATTGTGTGTGTCTGTGTGTGCGCATGCGCACCAGTACTGGGCCTTGAACTCAGGGCCTGGCCGGGCCCTGTCCTTTAGCTCACTGGCAGACACCTGCTCTACCCCTTGAGCCACACCTCCACGTCCAGCTTTTTGCTGGTTCGTTGAAGAGTCTGGCACAGACCTTCCTGCTCTGGTTGGCTCTGACCTTTGCTCCTCAGCTCTCAGCCCCTGGAGTAGCCGGGACTGCAGGGGTGAGTCACGGGTGCTGGCACCTCAGACACCCACGCGGGTCCCGCGTCCCCTGGGCTGGGGAAACGCCCAGCACGCTCACGCGGGTGCGTGGCCTGACTGGGGCGAAGGGAGAGTGGTCTGCTCTGGCTGTGGTGACCCCGTGCCCTTTCCCCTCTGACCCTCTCCCTCTCCTGGTAAGGAATTACTCCCACTTCCACCACCCCATGTACGGGAACTGCTACACCTTCAACAGCAAGAACAGCTCCCACCTCTGGATGTCCTCCATGCCCGGCATCAACAACGGTGAGCGGCCCCTCCGGGGATGCGGGGCCTGGGCTGCCCCGAGCAGCAGAGCCGGAGATGGAGAGGCAGATGGGACGGGGTGGGCGGGGTGGGCAGGCCTGTCCCCGACCCCTGACCCCCCAGACCTGTCCCTGACCCCCGACCCCCGCAGGCCTGTCCCTGACCCCTCACCCCCCAGGCCTGATCCTGACGCCCCCAGGCCTGTCGCTGACCCCCGATCCCCCCAGGCCTGTCGCTGATCCCTGACCCCCGTAGGCCTGTCCCTGACCCCCGACCCCCCAGGCCCGTCGATGACCCCCGGCCCCCGCAGGCCTGTCGCTGACCCCTGACCTCCACAGGCCTGTCACTGACCCCCGACCCCCCCAGGCCCTCGCTGACCCCTGACCCCCCAGGCCTGATCCTGACGCCCCCAGGCCTGTCGCTGACCCCTGACCCCCCCAGGCCTGTCCCTGACCCCCGACCCCCCCCCAGGCCCCTCGCTGACCCCTCACCCCCCAGGCCTGTCGCTGACCCCCGACCCCCCTCCAGGCCCTCGCTGACCCCCGACCCCCGCAGGCCTGTCGCTGACGCTGCGCACGGAGCAGCACGACTTCATCCCGCTGCTGTCGACGGTGACGGGCGCGCGGGTGACGGTGCACGGGCAGGACGAGCCGGCCTTCATGGACGACGGCGGCTTCAACCTGCGGCCGGGCGTGGAGACCTCCATCAGCATGCGCAAGGCAGGGGGCTCCGTGAGCATGCGCAAGGCAGGGGGCTCCGTGAGCATGCGCAAGGCGGGGGGGGGGCTCCGTGAGCATGCGCAAGGCAGGGGGCTCCGTGAGCATGCGCAAGGCAGGGGGCTCCGTGAGCATGCGCAAGGGGGGGGCTCCGTGAGCATGCGCAAGGCGGGGGGGGGGCTCCGTGAGCATGCGCAAGGCAGGGGGGCTCCGTGAGCATGCGCAAGGCAGGGGGCTCCGTGAGCATGCGCAAGGCGGGGGGCTCCGTGAGCATGCGCAAGGCAGGGGGCTCCGTGAGCATACGCAAGGCAGGGGGCTCCGTGAGCATGCGCAAGGCGGGGGGGCTCCGTGAGCATGCGCAAGGCGGGGGGGGGGCTCCGTGAGCATGCGCAAGGCAAGGCAGGTGGGGGGGGGAGAGCTCTGTGAGCATGCGCAAGGCTGGGGGGCGGTCTCGTGCTGGTTTGGAGAGGCGCGCGCAAGCGCGAGGGCGCATGCAGTAGGGCAGCCACGTGCTCGGGAAGGGTTCACGTGCTCGCCTGTAGAGGCGCGCGTGCGCGAGGGGGGGTCACGTGCTGGTCTGGAGAGGCGCGCATGCGCGAGGGCACGTGCAGTAGGGCAGCCACGTGCTCGGGAAGGAGAGGCGCGCATGCGCCAGGGAGTCACGTGCTGGTCTGGAGAGGCGCGCGCATGCGCGAGGGCGCGTGCAGTAGGGCAGCCACGTGCTCGTCTGGAGAGGCGCGCGCATGCGCCAGGGAGTCACGTGCTGGTCTGGAGAGGCGTGCATGCGCGAGGGCGCGTGCAGTAGGGCAGCCACGTGCTTGGGAAGGGGTCACGTGCTGGTCTGGAGAGGCGCGCGCAGTAGGGCAGCCACGTGCCCGGGGAAGGGGTCACGTGTGGCGCGAGCGCTCGGATTGGTCTGGCGCCGGCACGTGGGGTAGAGGAGGTCACGTGGCGGCGGGGACCCGCGGGCGCGGCCGGGCTGTGGGAGGAGGAGGAGGAGGGGCGTCGTGTGGGAGACCCCGTGCCCTCTGACCCCGCCCCGCGCGCCCGCAGGAGGCCCTGCACAGGCTCGGGGGCGACTACAGCGACTGCACGGAGAACGGCAGCGACGTCCCCGTGCGCAACCTCTACCCGGCCAAGTACACGCAGCAGGTCAGGGGCGGGGCTGGGCCCAGGGGGCGGGGCTGGGCCCAGGGGGCGGGGCTGGGCCCAGGGGGCG